AACTTCTTTTTCCTACCAAAAAAATGAATATTCATAAACCATCTTATTTTTCATATGGTCTTAAAATCATATATCTCAACGATTGTCATTCATAATCTTAAGCGATCAATAACAAAGGAAGTAAATTGACAATATCACCTTATATTTCTCAGAAAAACACTGGCCTATATGGTCCTTCATTTTTCTAACCATTGATATTGTTTATCTAATTTCTCCATGACAGGACACAGTGTTTGATCCAGTTTCTTTGACTTGCGGCCATATATTCTGCTATATTTGTGCATGCTCGGCTGCATCAGTATCTATTGTTGATGGACTTAAGGCTGCAGATCCTAAAAAGAAATGTCCTCTATGTCGAGAGGTAAGCCACCACCAGAAGCCAGAAATGACATTTATATTGCATGCTCTCCTACAACTTGATTATTGTAACAGGAGTGTAAAACGTGGGAGAGTTTTCCACTTTGCTTGATTCCATTAACTTGTGTTAAAAGGAGTATATAAATCATGTTTATAACTCATGATTTCACCCTTCATGGTCGTTAGAGCCGGCCGATGGATGGTCACCAGCCTCATGAGTCATGACAGTGCTGAATGGCAATTTTGTAAGAAAACTCGAGTTTGTGCATTCCTTTTGCATCTGCCATTCTTGACCTTGGTTTTTTAAATCCTTTGATGAGGGATAAACACAAGTTATGTAAGGAAACTTTGTCCACCTACTTTAGGCACTTTAGTACCTAACAATGATTGATCCATTGTTTGCTTCTACCATAGAGTGGCGCTGTTAACAATCTACAGCCAACATTTTTTTTATTTCCTTTTCTGGATTTGAACCGGTTAAAATAATTGGCTACTTATACTTAGTCTTACTTTTGTTGATTATAGGGTGCAGTTTATCAAGGTGCTGTGCACTTGGAAGAACTAAATATTCTTTTAGGCCGAAGGTACGGTCCTATTTGTTTCATACATAAACTTATGTGTTCATTTGGGTGATTAAAACCAGTTGTCGTAAAAGAAGAGATGGGTTTAATTAGAAGCTGTTTAATATCATTTTGTTATGTCTTTTAACTTGATAATGTCTACCCCTTTTACAGTTGTCAGGAATACTGGGAGCAGAGGCTTCAGACAGAGAGGGCGGAGAGGGTTAAGCAAATAAAGGAACACTGGGAATCACAGTGTAGAGCATTCATGGGTGTCTAAGTACCATATGCAACTTTATTAGTGTCTCTGGTGCAATATAGGGTGATTTAAAGCTCAAATGTGAATATGCATATGTTTTGATTGTTATTTTGTAGTTTGTACATTTTTGTATGTAATCTTCTGAATAAGGTGAAGTTGCCTTTACACTATCTATAAGCTTTTTAGTGGCAGTGTTCTTACCTGATTTATGTATGATTCCATAAGCGGTTCTGCTTCAGAAATGAGGATTGAGTATTAGGAGTGAGAATAGGTTAAACAACTGCACTAGGTGTTACAGAAAAAATGAAAAAAAAAAAAAAAAAACTTTGAAAAAAGAGCTTTTTCTACGAGAAATTGTGCGAGCGGAGTTAGTAAAAAACAAAATTATAAGGGTCATATACGGAAATAAAAGAAAAAAAAAGGTTATATATTACGTAAATCTACCGACTTAAATAAGTTTACATAAATTTTGAGTATAATTTTATTTTTTTAAGTGAAAAGTATTTATTTTTAGCATTATTTATACACTAATTAACAATATTTGTTTTTAATAATTGATATTATTTTTTAGACCTTTTTTTATCCATAGTTTTTTTAGGGTCTCAAGCAAAGGTTTTGATGTTAACAAACTAGTAAGGCATTTAGTTTAGGCTAAGGTTTGGACTTGCAAAAAAGGCTTATTTGATTTATCAGACTTGTATATTAATCTATTATTTATATATAATTAAGAGTTTATAATACTTGCAGAGTTTATAATTAACACATGATCTTTTTTACAAATTTTAATTTGTATCAACTTTATATTTAAAAATATTTTCTCTACATATTTTTTAAAAAAATTTCACAAAAGAAATATGGTTAGACACTAAACGCTATTTAAAAGAGAAAAAAACGAAAAACAAACTGCCAAGTTAAAGACAAGATTTACACTGATGTTATGTAAAATAGACCCAAGTCTTTTTAATAATGTCAACCACAATGTAGTTAATCATTCTTCATTATAAATGTCAAATTCTAAAATTTTAAAATTTTCATACAAAAACAACTCAATGATGTTGACATTAACCATAAACTGAGCCGTTCGTGTTTTAATTCATGGAAATTCCAAATACATAAATGGCAGCATTGTGCATAACATAGTTAAGAACATATTCTATCCAAATCAATTTCATTTACTGATTTTCTTTCTGGAAATTCTTCATCTTCCCATCCTCAACTCCACAAAATTGTTCAGCTTTGGAGTAACAATAGTTCAATCATTTCCCCGTCTACAGATCAGAATTACACCTTGGGAGAAATCTTTCACTTCGTGAGACTAAAAGGATTTTTGTCTTTATAAATATGACACTCCTCCTTCTATAGTTTTTCTAAAACTTTGTTTACAAATTAGTTTTGATAAGTTTAGGCCTGTGAAAGAAAAATACCAATACCTAACCTGAAAATTATCTCCATATTTATTTACTAAAAAGTAAAATTTTATTTTAATATTTTACAGTAATATTAAACATAAAGTTACTATTAAAATGAAATATTGATTTTAATTAATAAACGGTGCCCAAAGAACATCACATAAATTTGTGATTTACAAAATTTATACACGGGACCATGTGATATTATTGCATTTTCTACCCTTCACATCACTTAATTGTCTGGCATAGAATGGTGCGTTCTTGAGTCAGTTGGGTTCATGATAGGTATGTTTAACTAAGCATCTTAACTAGCTAATTCAATTAGTTGTACATTTATTTTATTAGCTGAATAATTTATTTAATCAAAATATTATTATTTAATAAAGTAGCTGAAAGGGATGATTATTAATAGTTTTTATTTTTAACTACTAACTAAAAATAAAATTATAAAAAGAAAAATTTAGATACAATTGTATAACAATGCTTATCAGTTTCACTTTCATGTGTTTGCCGTGCTAAATTCCCATTTGCCAAACACGTACCAACCCCCATAGTGCCATAACTTCAACACCATTCCTTCATCTGAGCAGAGATTATTATTGGAGAAATGTAAACTTAAATTTGCATGTTCTCAATTTTAGTGTTTACTTCACTCAATACCAAGTATATTTTATTTGGGTCACTTAATATTTTATAAGAAATCATAGAAAAGCAACATGAACTGAGACATTTTCTATTTTCCCTGTTCATTAATAAAAGGCATTTTCCTTTCCAAAGCCTAACTGAAGAACCTCAATCTTTTCACTTATTTAAAAGGTCGATCAGTACGGACACCATATCATTACACTAAAAACAGAATCGAAGGATTAAGATTAAATTATAAAAATACCCTCAGTCAGATCCACACAGGTCAACCTACCTGCTACACATTTACAATACATCTTCCAAATATTAAATTACAATTTCCTTAACATATCTCACTTCACTGGTTAATAGATACCCATTTCATTTTTTTAATAAGCTACTCTTTCTTTTCTTTTACTCTTAAGATTTTGTAAAATAATTTTTAAAAATATTAATATTCTATATTTTATTAAAAAAATTATTTTTTTATTTTAATTACTGAGGATAAAATTGTAAAAAATAATTATTTATTAATTTTATTAAATAACAATAATGATCAACAAAGTAAAATCATATAGTGTAAACAATTATGTAGGTACTTTTTAAATGATTTCATTAATGTTTATTAATTATATTATATTTTATAGAAGTTTTTATAAAATATTTATTTATTTTTTAATAAATAAAATTGATGATGAAAGTTTAAATTAAAACATAAAAATAAATATTAATATATTAAATAATAATAAAAATATTATATTACAATATTTTTAAAAATTAAAGTTAAATATTTTATTAATTGATGAAAGTTTAAGTTAAACATAAAAAATAATTTACTAATTTTAGCTTTTAAAATTAATTTTAAATATAAAATAATTATTATTTTAAAATATTTGTTATATTTTTACATTTTTAATATAATAATTAATTGAAAATATTATTTTTAAATATTAAATTTTAATTATAAAAATTAAGATTAATAAAAAATATTAATCATAAAACATGTTCATAGAAAATTGTGTCATAAACGATACTTTATGTAGTATGTACGGCACAGTTTCATTTCTCAAATCTCACCACTTGTTTGCTTGCAATGATTTAAATCTGTGTCACAATCCCTTATCTTTAACACATTAAATATATGATTAATTCTCTTTATACACTGTACCCCACTATTCTACTTCTTATTGCTTTTTGTTTTACTCCAAGGTGATGTACATTAAATATCCAACTCATCACAATCTTTAACTTATTTGAATTTTTATTTTGTATAAATATTTGGTTAAATTGAGTTATAATAATATCTCTTAAAATATGCATATCTACTGTACTAATTTTGTAAATAGAACAAAAATCGATACAAATGAAATGACCAATGTCTAAGGTAGGTCGCGTCTAACGTCCTCAGAAAACCGCGAAGATCGCAGGAATGCCACATCTCTCTGTTATGCCCTGGACTATGGTCTTGCTCTTTCGAATTATTAAAGCTTTTCTGTCACGTGTTCGGTAGAGCTTTGGTGTTCAAAGTGCATATTGCATGCCCATGAAATACTTGTCATCATCATTGTTTCACTAATATGTACAACTTTTTTTCATCTTGCTCCCATGTGACCTATGAATTGTGCTCTCTTTTCAACACAATATTACTAATTAAATAGCTCGGGTTCCTCGAGTGTGATACAAGGTTTGGAACATATTTGAGTTGAAGCTGAAGTTGCTTCTGGGGAAGCACAACATGTTCTCTTCATCTTCAAATTGGATAATCCTGTGAATCCATTTATAAAGTGGCTCTAGTTCGTGGAGTGGAGGTGCATGAAATACTGGGAAAACAGTTTGGGCTCAAGTTTCTTCCGGGAGCACAAACATGTTCTCCACATCTCTCTCATGTGCTTCGCCTGTGAAACAAAACTCAACTCTGTTTCAATGGCTGAGATTCATTTTCCTTTCTCCCTGTCCTCAGAGAGTTCTCTTGTCTGCCGTTGATACTCTACTATTGCTCTTTCTCTTTGTGTTTGCTGTCACAAAGCTCTGTAAAAGGTTCACCTCTCATGGCCGTTCCAACAACGACCTCAACAAGCCTTTCATTAGAAACAACATATCCACTTTCAGAACTACTCTGTGGTTTAAGTTAACTTTGACTGTAACGGTTGTTTTGGCTGTAGTTTACACCATTGCTTGCGTTCTCGTCTTTAGCAGTTCCACCAACGTGCCGTGGAAGCAAGTTGATGAAGCTTTTTGGATCGTCCAGGCCGTAACACATGCAGTGCTTGCAGTGTTGATCATTCACGAGAAAAAATTCGAAGCTGTAACACACCCCCTGTCCGTTCGAGTTTACTGGGTTGCGAATTTCGTTGTCATTTCCTTGTTCACGGTTTCTGGGGTTGTACGTTTTGTGTCTGTGGATGAGGATGGAGCCAAAAGCTTCGTCATTGAAGTGGATGACGTGGTCTCTTTTATTTCACTCCCTCTGTCATTGTTTCTTCTTTTTGTGGCGGTTAAAGGAGCCACTGGTATTGTGTTGTCGACAGAAGAAAAAAAGTCACTTGTTGACGAGGAAACGAGGTTGTATGAAACAAAATCCGAGGTTACTGGCTTTGCTTCAGCTTCTCTACTGTCCAAGGCATTTTGGATTTGGATAAACCCTTTGTTGAGTAAAGGGTACAAGTGGCCACTGAAAATTGATGATATTCCAACACTTTCCCCAGACCATAGAGCTGAGAAGATGTCACTTCTCTTTGAATCAAAATGGCCTAAAACAGACGAGAGATTGAAGCATCCAGTTAGAATCACATTGCTTAAGTGCTTTTGGAAGGAGTTGGCCATCACTGCCATTCTTGCAATTATTAGGCTGTGTGTCATGTTTGTGGGGCCAGTTCTCATACAAAGCTTTGTAGATTATACGTCAGGGAAGAGAAGCTCTGTGTATGAAGGGTACTATCTCGTGTTGATTCTTCTTGTTGCCAAGATCATAGAAGTGTTGACCACTCACCATTTCAACTTCAACGCTCAGAAACTTGGGATGCTCATACGGTGCACGCTTATACCTTCTTTGTACAAAAAGGGATTGATGCTATCATTCTCAGCTAGGCAGGACCATGGTGTGGGTAGCATCGTGAATTACATGGCTGTTGATGTTCAGCAACTTTCTGATATGATGCTTCAGTTGCATGCTGTGTGGATGATGCCATTTCAAGTTGGTATTGGTTTATTTCTACTTTACGATTGTCTAGGTGCCTCTGTAGTGACTTCTTTTCTTGGTCTTCTTGGGATATTAGTGCTTGTTGTGCTTGGTATCCGGAGAGATAGGGTTTTCCAATTGAATGTGATGAAAAACCGTGACTTGAGAATGAAAGCTGTGAATGAGATGCTTAGTTACATGCGTGTGATAAAGTTTCAGGCTTGGGAGGAGCATTTCAACGGGAGGATTATGGGATTCCGTGAGACAGAGTTTGAGTGGCTTACCAAGTTGATGTTCTCCATTTGTAGCAATATTGTTGTGATGTGGAGCGCACCGATATTGGTATCAACTCTGACGTTTGGTACAGCTATTTTGCTGCGAGTTCCGCTTGATGCAGCCACTGTCTTCACGACTACTTCTATCTTCAAGATCTTGCAGGAGCCTGTTATGACATTCCCACAGTCTATGATATCTCTTTCACAAGCAATGATATCACTGGGGAGGTTAGATAGATTCATGTTGTGTAGGGAATTGTCGAATGATTCAGTTGTGAGAGAGGAAGGCAGTGGTGGACAAACCGCAGTGGAGATCATAGATGGTACCTTTAGTTGGGATGATGAAAACATGCTGCAGGACTTGGAAAATATTGATTTGGAGATCAAAAGGGGGGAGCTTACAGCAATTGTTGGGACTGTGGGGTCAGGAAAGTCATCTCTCCTAGCATCAATTCTTGGTGAGATGCACAAAATTTCTGGAAAGGTATGAATTTTGTTGAAGCCTCAAGTTGACTATTAGATATACCCAATTTAGAACTCGTAAAGGCTAAAGCAATCATTACCTTAAGAGCTAGCTTTTGGATTTCTATACGAGCATATTTATTTAAGGATGTTCACAGTTGAGTGTGGATTTTTGTAACAGGTTCGGGTTTGTGGTAGTGTTGCCTATGTTGCACAAACATCTTGGATTCAGAGTGGCACCATTGAAGAAAACATTCTCTTTGGTTTACCAATGGATAGGCATAGGTACAATGAAGTTATCAGGGTGTGTTGCTTGGAGAAAGATTTGGAAATGATGGATTATGGAGATCAAACAGAAATTGGAGAGCGTGGTATTAACCTGAGTGGGGGCCAGAAGCAGCGTATACAACTTGCCAGGGCTGTATATCAAGATTCTGATATATATCTCCTTGATGATGTCTTCAGTGCTGTTGATGCTCATACTGGCTCTGAAATATTTAAGGTGTTTATCTTTAAGTTAAAGATTCTTACTCAGCATTATGTTTAATTTTGTTGATGTCTTCCGTGCTAGTTTGTTGCTTGAACTTCAAGAGTTCTTCAAGTAATCTTTGTTGAATTGTTATATTAAGAAATGGTATAGAATTCAATTTGATTGGTTGCTAATTGGATTTTTCTCAGGAATGCGTGAGGGGAGCTCTAAAAGGCAAGACCATTGTTCTTGTAACACACCAAGTGGATTTCCTACATAATGTGGATCTTATATTAGTAAGTCTCTTTTTCCAATGCTGTAATGCTTCATCTGTTGTAATCTTCAATTTGACTTGAATTCAAACACTTGTATTTGCTTGCTAAGGTGATGAGGGACGGGATGGTAGTCCAATCAGGGAAGTATGATGATCTACTAGATGCTGAAATGGATTTTAAAGCTCTGGTAGATGCACATGAGACTTCTATGGAACTAGTAGAGCAGGGTGTGGTCTTACCTGGTCAAAATTTGAACAAACCAACAAAATCTCCAGAGGGAATTTCTATTTACAAGGGGACTGGTGGTGAAAGCAATTCTCTTGACCAGACTGAGCCTGGCAAGAATAGTTCTAAACTCGTCAAAGAAGAGGAGAGAGAAACTGGCAAAGTGAGCTTACATATCTACAAACTCTACTGCACTGAGGCTTTAGGTTGGTGGGGTGTTGCAATAGCATTGCTTCTTTCTTTGTTATGGCAAGCGTCTTTGATGGCAAGTGACTATTGGCTGGCATATGAAACCTCAGAAGAGGGTGCCAAAATGTTTAACCCCAATTTGTTCATTTCTATCTATGCAATTATTACTGTTGTTTCAGTCATTTTGGTGATCGCAAGATCCTACTGCATTACAATCTTGGGGCTAAAAACAGCACAGAGTTTCTTCACACAAATTCTTCGTAGCATCTTGCATGCGCCCATGTCTTTCTTTGACACTACTCCATCTGGGAGAATTCTAAGTAGGGTAAGAACATCATATTAAATGGATGAATCTAATCCTAATTGAAATAAACTTTTATATTTTATATGTTAATCACACACTTGTGATGACTTATTTTTCTTTATGTTAACTTCTACAGGCATCCACAGATCAGGCCAATGTTGATGTGTCTCTCCCCATGTTCACAGGAATTGTTATTGGCATGTACATGTCAGTACTCGCCATCTTCATCATCACCTGTCAAAATTCTTGGCCTACAGTGTTATTGATAATTCCTCTTGTTTGGTTGAATATATGGTATCGGGTATGAATATGATTTCCCTGCTTGTAAAATGCTTTGCCCTTCTTTGATTGCCAACCTGTAAAACCTGAAAATTTGTTGCATGTAGTAGAATGAATAAAAGGGTTATTCCATAACCTCCAACATGTTGAAGTTATTTACAGATTTTTCTGTTCAATTATGAAAGTAATTCATATGGCCGTGTTTCATAATGTGGATAACAACCACTATACTCACTTGTTTGACAGATAAAGTCCATTAGTCATCAGTAATTTTGTAACTTGTTTACAATTAAATATATCTTACATTCTTTATGTTAACAATTTCTGTGTGTTCTCTCTCTTTTCTGGTGTTTCAGGGTTACTATCTTGCATCATCTCGTGAAATAACTCGCTTGGATTCAATTACCAAAGCACCGGTAATTCATTACTTCTCCGAAAGCATTGTGGGGGTCATGACAATCCGTGCATTCGGAAAGCAAAAGAGTTTTTGTGAAGAAAATCTCAAACGAGTGAATGCTAATTTGCGAATGGATTTCCACAACAACGGTTCTAATGAGTGGTTAGGAGTAAGATTAGAATTTCTAGGAACCTTTGTCTTCTGCATTTCTACTTTGTTCATGATCATCTTGCCCAGCGGTATCATAAAGCCAGGTAAAAACTGACACTAAAAGAATTCTAAACATGTGTGTTCATTGTCTGTTTATAAATTTGTACACATTGTCAGTACAGTATTTCTTATTCAAATTACTATTACTCAGTTCTTATCTTTGTGTCTATTATCCGTTTATAGTTTAGTTATGTAGTATCTTGCAGTCTTGCTCCGTGAACTGTGACGTAACATTTAATATTTTTTTTTATCTTGGATAACATTGAGTAGAATTTCTTTGTAAACTAATGATATTTATGTCACTGCAAATATTTTATTAACGTAATTAACTGACTGACTGCGTTGTTCTGCCTGATGTAGAAAATGTTGGTTTATCTCTCTCTTATGGATTGTCCTTAAATTCGGTCATGTTCTTTTGCGTATACATGAGTTGTTTTGTCGAAAACAAAATGGTGTCTGCTGAGAGGATAAAGCAGTTTACAAATATTCCATCGGAACCCGCTTGGAATGTCAAGGATCGTTTGCCTCCTTCAAATTGGCCAGATCAAGGCAATGTAGATATCAAAGACCTGCAGGTAACTTGTGTATGAAAAAATGGATTATTAGTATCAAGAGTGTTCTTGCCTTTCTGTATGGGCCCATCTGTTGAAAGCCACTACAAGATTTCAAAATACTTATTGATATCTATCGGTTTAAGCAACTACATTCATTAATTTTTATTATCAATTTGCATTGAGCAACAGTATAGTTTCCCTGTTGTGCTGAGTTGAGCTTCTGGTTAACAGGTCAGATATCGTCCAAACACCCCTCTGGTTCTTAAAGGCATCACTTTAAGCATTAGTGGAGGTGAAAAGATTGGCGTTGTTGGTCGAACTGGAAGCGGAAAATCAACTTTGATTCAAGTCTTCTTTAGGCTGGTGGAACCTTCAGGAGGGAAAATAATAATTGATAGTATTGACATATCTGTCTTGGGGCTTCATGATCTTAGATCACGGTTTGGTATCATTCCTCAAGAGCCCGTCCTTTTTGAAGGAACTGTCAGAAGCAACATTGATCCAATTGGACAGTACACAGATGATGAAATATGGAAGGTAAATAATGCACCAATTCAAAGTTTATAAGGCTTAAAATTCAAAATTTGTATCCTTTAATGTTAACATGGTCATATCGTACTACTCCAATAGGATCTAAATCTTAAAATTCATGTTTTGAATCCATTAGTCTAACAAGTTGATTATTGATACAGAGCTTGGAACGCTGTCAACTAAAAGAGGTTGTTGCTGCTAAGCCTGACAAGCTCGACTCTTTGGGTAATAAAGAATTTTGACCATTTTATTTGGGCTACTTGAGTTTCATGATTTTACTGATGGGAATGTTGTTTGAAATTGACAGTGGTGGATAATGGAGAGAACTGGAGTGTGGGGCAGAGACAATTGCTTTGTCTGGGACGCGTGATGCTTAAGCGAAGCCGAGTGTTGTTTATGGATGAGGCAACTGCTTCTGTTGATTCTCAAACAGATGGTGTAATACAAAAGATCATTAGAGAGGACTTCGCAGCTTGTACCATCATCAGCATTGCTCACAGAATACCCACAGTCATGGACTGTGATAGAGTTTTAGTTGTAGATGCAGGTATCATATTCTCTTTCCAAACCACCATTCACCTTTATGCTTTTATCATTGTTGCCTGTTGCCTAAGGTCTCTTCTTGTTTTTGTATCAGGCCATGCAAAAGAATTTGATAACCCCTCCAACTTGCTTCAGACTCAATCTCTCTTTGCAGCATTAGTTCAAGAGTACGCCAACCGTTCAACTGGACTCTAATCATATGTTTCCCAGTTCAACTTTTGTTAGAAAGTGGGGAGAGGATGGATATTTTATTTTAAATATATAGTTAAATTTTAAAATAATAAGTTTATGCAAATCTTAGAAATAACATGTAAAGGTTATGATCTTTACACGGATTGAAAGAAATTTGACATATGGAGTTCAGCCATTATCGTCAATCATTTAAATATTCAAAGATATATTATTGCTGAGCCTGAAATGTTTTTATCCTGGAAAGTGGAAACATATTCCTGATTTCTAGTTATTACAAAAAGTAATAATATCAATCTGTTGTCATGTGAGAAAAGAAAATTTTGACACGACCCACCTTAAGGTTTAGATTTTGACATGGTAGTGTATAAACATTAGACATTTTACTATTATGTATAGGTATCGATTAAGTGCCCAAGTGAAGCAGAAGTTTATCCAAAGTTTCATTGGTGTTACTATGTTGCATGGCAAATTTCATTTCAATTAAGTAATCATGAGTATATTTGGTCAATAGCACTAGTTTAGGTAATTGTGGCTGTTCCACGGACATGTCTTATGGCTCCACGATACCAGGTCAGTAGCGATACCTTCAGTTAACACTAACCATTAATCATTACAAACTCTTAACATATTAGTTTGAAATACAACAATGCAAAACATTAAAGTCAAAGTGAAAGAGACGTTGTATAAGAAAAAAACAACCCTTGACACATTTTTTTCTAAGGATATTAAGGAAAAGGAGAGAAGAAAGGGTAACATGAAGCTACTCACAAGCGAAAGACGCATAACCACCACCATTCACCAAAATTAGATATATAGTGTGCAATTGTCTCCACGAATTAACTTCAAAATAAGGCTCATTTAATTAAAATAATTAAGAATTAAGAAATTGAGAAGTGATGCTGTCAACAAAATATTGCTACACGTTGTCCGTTAAAGATTTGTTACTTACCACCACACTAAATAGAGTAATATCATGCATTTTAGATTAATTTATATTTGACAAATATTAATAATAATTGACTTCAATTTTATTAAAAATTATTCAACTACATTAATTTTATTCTTGATTTAACAAGTTTCACTCATAGTTTATAATTTTTAATATATTTAAATTAATAATTAATAAATTATATCTTGAAAATTATATTATTAACATGTTTTTATAATTTATTTGATTAAATTACAAGTTTGTTTGATAAAATAAAAATGTAATTTAAATGTTCATGAATATTTATTTAATGAATTTTAATATATGTAAGAGTTCACATTTAAGAATTTGTGTATAATATATAATTTTTTATAAAAATTATAAAATATAATACAATAATAATATTATAATTGACAATTTTTTAAATTTTAAATTTTCATACTTTTTTAAAATATAATATATATATATATATATATATATATATATATTCTTTAAATATCATGTATAAAAAAATAGTCCTATAATTATTGTTTTGTACATTTTTATCATCGCTCCCGAGGTAGACGTAGGATATCACCTTTTTTTGATAATCATTGCCAAACTTAAATAAGTTGTACTAGAGTTATGATTACAATTGATGTCACATAAAAAAAATCTTTTCAAATCACTCGAGCTTGACAAATGGGTAAGCTTTGCATTTAATGTCATTTGCTTTTTTCAATTACAAATTAAAGTCTTATCTGAATTAGGATTATAATTATAGATAATGTTGTTGTTCTTATCTCCTGTTAGCCTTTTATTTTCATAATTTTGTTTTGTTACTCATGAATCATGATCTCTCTTTCACCTCATGTGCTTTTTACAAGCAGTGTTCCACCTCCATTAAGGTTACTCTTGGGTAACCATTGCAATTCACCTTTTAACAGCAACGTCCAACACATTCAACATTTCTCAGGGCTAAGATTCATTAGCTTTATCTTCTACCAACATATTTGCACCAATTAAAGTTAGAACAAAACTTAAGGGTGATTTCTTAAATATTATTAATGTTGTTTATAAGTTAAAATTAAAATTATATTCCAATAATATATATATATATATATATGTTAACATCAACATTATTTTCTACTAAAATAAAATTATAATTTGAATCGTTAAATAATACTGTAACGCTTAAAAATTAATACATAAATTTTGTTGTATAGTTAATTTGCATTTTGGCACACTTATTTTAAAAAAGTTTCCTATTTAAATTTTAAGCCTACCCTTAACTCTAATGATTTAGGCCTAACCCCTGACCCTATTATTGTTTTGGGTTTACAACTATTATTATGATATTATCCACTCAACATAACTAATATTACCATCTACAGTATACATTGATTATTCTTACATTAGTTTCTACTTTGCATAAAATTTTAAAATTTCAACAGTGTACCTTATAATAATTTCATACTTAATTTGCGCATGATTTAGTTTATAACAAAACTATATTAAATATTATCATTTTTATTATTATTATTATCTTGGTTTGTTATTATTGTTGCTGTATTTAAATATTTACATAATTGTTTTATACCTTACTACCAAATCCTCAATATTATTGAAAAATAATTTTGATATTAAATCTTCTAATTTTCAATCCTTAAGTATATACAAATGCTAAATTTTGATTTTATTCAACATCTGTTTTTTTTCTTTTTTTTCTCTTCCTAACTTCAAAATTTTCGAATACAATATTACCTTCGTCTTCTGAAACCCCATCTCTGCCTTCACCATTGCATTAAATTTTTCACACACCTAAAAAGTAGAAAATGCTCCTATTGCTGTTTTGCATTCATGTGAATCCCCTAGACATAAAAGCTTCGCCCAACATAATCCAACACGTGAAATTAATCTATGTCGCATGCATGTCTTGCTGCAAGTCCAACAACTTCTCCGTTTACTCGTCCAAATCGAGGTGAAAACGACATGTCCCCGCCGCAGAAGACCATTGTCGACTATGAAATTAAACAGAACATGCAGTACCATCGTGCAACCTCACTCCCCAGTCACCATCTCCAAAGAAATGTCGTCTTCGATGGTTTCAATTTTCAAAGAGGTAACAGAATGAGTTGCATTTGCATACCATTTAACTGATTAACCTCTTATCAAACACGAAGACTGCAATCAACTCCTCAGTGACACCACATGCAGCATGAATCTTTGCAAAACTGTAATCATCGCCATAACACTACTGCGTTGTATATAAAGGTACGAGCATGAGTATTGAGTATGATAGCGTCATTATTGTATTATTATTGTTCTTTTATTTCTTCAAAGATATGCTTTATCTTTAGTTTCATTAAAAAATTTATAATAATAACTTCTCACTTAAAAATTAAAAATATAATTTAATATATTTTTTGTGTAATTTATTATACAATGCAATATAAAAATATAATAAAAAACTTTACTTGTTCATTTTTATAAATTAGTAAAAAAAGTATATAATTTAATTATTTACTATTACATTTCTGTGTAAAATTATATAAACTAATAATATATTATATTTTTGTTATATTTTTTTAATCATTAAATGAAAATTTGAGAATAAGAGACTTACTTTGAATAATTAAAAAAAACAAAATAAGAATAAAATTAGATTGAAATATTAATATAAAACATGCAATCAAATAATTATCTTTATAACTAAACGGAAAGATTCCTAATTACACCATACGAAAACACAAAATTTATAAACATGCATGATCGAAAGACGTAATGACGTATGATATATCACTGTAGCAATATTACAACCAATTTTCACTTTCTTCCGTTCTTTTTTGCTCTTCAATTGACTCACACACTTTAATGCTAACTACCGAAGGTATCGGCTTTTTTTATTTAAATAATGTTTTTTAAAAAATAAATTATCAAATTATAACTTTTTTAAAATTATTTTTTAATCTAAAATTATTTAACAACGTGTTATGAATTTTACCATAATTATTGATAAATTTTATTTTTAAATTTTGAAAAATAAATTTTGTTATTAAAAATGTAAAATCTATAATTTTTTTATTTTTTAAAATAATTTTTTAATTAAATATACAAAATTTATAAATATTTTTACAAGTGTTAAATTATTATTAATTTTATAATTATAATAAATTATTTATTTAAAAATAAAAAATTTTACCATACATATGCAAAACCTTTTTTTATTTTTTAAATAAATAATTTATTATAATTATAAAATTTTTGATAATTTGACACGTATAAAAATATTTATAAGTTCTATATTTTTTATGGTAAAACTTATTTTTTAAAATTTATAAATAAAAATTTCACTAATAACTGTGACAAAATTCATAATAGGTGATCAAAATTATCCAGAATAATAATTTTTAAAAAATTATAATTTGTTAATTTGTTTTTTAAAAAAATTATTTAAATAAAAAAGTCAAAGGTATCGCTACTGACAACTGCAAAACTGATGGTGTCAGATTGTGAGTGCATTTATTACCTGCTGTCGTGGAGCCATAAGACATGTCCGTAGAACAGCTATAATTACCTATACTAGTTCAATTGACCAAAATATCCTCGAGATTACTCAATTGAAATGAAAATTTCCATGCCACATAGTAACAACACCAACGAGACTTTGATAAACTTCCGCTTCACTTGGATACTTAATCGATACCTATACATAATAGTAAAATATCTAATGTTTATACACTACCATGTCAAAATCTAAACCTTAAGGAGGGTTGTGTCAGTTTTTACTTTTCTCACATGATAATTGTCCTTTTATGAGGAAAACAGATTGATATTATTACTTTTGGTAATGACTAGATCACAGGAATATGTTTCCACTTTCCAGGGTAAAAACATTTCAGGCTCAGCAATAATATATCTTTGAATAATTAAATGAGTGGAGATAAACTCCAAATGTCAATCCGTGCAAAGATCATTTCCTTTACATGTTATTTCTAAGATCAATCAAACGGCCTGCGCCTCCTAAGGAAAGTTAGATTTTGCATAAACTTATTATTTTAACATTAACTCTATTTACTTAAAATAAAATATCCATCCTCTCCTCACTTTCTAACAAAAGTTGAACTGCGAAACGTATGATTAGAGTCCCGCTGAACGATTGGCGTACTCTTGAACTAATGCTGCAAAGAGGGATTGAGTCTGAAGCAAGTTGGAGGGGTTATCAAATTCTTTTACATGGCCTGATACAAAAACAAGAAGAGACCTTAGGCAATAGGCAACAATGATAAAAGCATAAAGGTGAATGGTGGTTTGGAAAGAGAATATGATACCTGCATCTACAACTAAAACTCTATCACAGTCCATGACTGTGGGTATTCTG